TGCTAAACAAATGTGAAACAAGGGTAAATGCTTGAGGAGCAAAGCAGGATGAAGTGGCTAAAAAGCTTCAAGGATCAGGAGAGTTGAAGCTCTATTTGAAGAATGATTTGGAGGTCACCCAAGTAAGGGCACAGTGAGAACAGCATACACAAGGGCACAGGGTTCTGACAGCTCTTAACTTTTCAGGAAACTTATAACTGAGCACCTAGAGAAAGTCCAACACTTTCACTCAGGTATGTGCAATAGATAATTATCATCCCCATTTTTACAAAGGAGACTCTGAGATGTTAAGTAACTTGCTCAAGGCCATCCAGATGGTAAGCAGGAAGACCCAAACTGGAATTCAAAAGGTATTCTAAGTCTGGTGGCTGCTTCACACACGGGTGTACGCGCTACCTCCTACTCCTGCCCCATATGATACCCCTATTCTCTTGCCATCTTTCTTCAAGCCTTCCCCCTCAACCCCTTCTCAGCTAGCTTCCCTAGTCCCTTTTCTTAGAAGTTCTTCTTTGATTAACGATTACCAGGCTCATGAACAAGACGGGAGTCCAGAATCTCAGGATCTCTCCCACCATTTGCTGGCCCTGCGTAACCTAAGACCAGGGATTAAAATCCCGCTTTGGGCTGTCCGGCATTCTCTGGGTTGCTGTGAGGTCCAAAAGAGCATAGGGATGTTACTACGTTCCCTCGCCATCCTTCAGGACCCATTCCTCTGTGCCCGCAGCCAGTCACACCCTGGCGCTTAGAACCTACAAATATATCACTCAGCCTAAGGAGATCAGTCCAGTCCAGTAGGTGTGCCCCACCTACCCCACGGGCGAAGCTGCAGCTTCCGGGCTCTTCTGGTGCCTGAACCGAGAGGGTGTGGATCTACAGTTTGGCAACCCACCTGGCAATGCCCCGGGATAGATGGCGAAGGAGGGGAGCCCTCTGCCCACAAGAGGAGCAGTCCCAAGCATGACAATATGGGGCTGTTGCGTGCTCACTCCACCTCTGGGCCCGTCTAGTAACACAGGGTCCAACCTCTCCTCCCGGCCAGTGATAAAACCTCCGCTTCCCGGGGACCCCTCCCAGAGCTCCGAATCCGCAGCCCAGACCCCCGCACCAGCGTAGGGAGAGTTAATTCCAACCGCCACTCAGCCTATTCCGGGGGCCGGGTCGCGGAGAGCGCCTCCCATTGGCCGCGGAGCCGGCTCAGCGCTGATTGGCTGAGGCTCTCGGCTCTGACCCTCCAAGGCTCCCCATTGGGCGCGGCGCTCCGGTGACTGGAGTGTGGGGGCCCAGCCTCCGCTGGCTGCTAGGGGTGAAGCTGCTGCCGGCTCTGGCAGCTGCCTGGGAACACTGTCTGCCGGAGTCTCGACTTCCTCCCCCTATCCAGATCTCCTTGCTGTCCCGGGGACGCCAACGGATCTTCTCCCGGATTCTTTTCCTCCTTAACCTGCTAATTTTCTTTTTCCTTCCTCCCTGGCTCCTGTCTCCCAACTCCGTTTCCCTCCGCTACTCCCGGCCCCGTAGCCGGTCATCCTAAGCATCCCACCTGCCGTCCTCTTGGCTTTTGCCCCTCCTTGACCTCAAATCCCTTGATTAACAAGTCCTCGTCATAACCTCCTCACCAGACTCTCCTAAACTCATTATTTCTTCTTTCTTTGCCAGCTCCTGACTCCCAAATTCCCGCTAACCCTTGACCTCTTTACATTTGACCCTGACATTCTTGACTACAGACGTCTAAATCTCTACCTCCTGCAGCCTGGACTGCTGGAACTGAGATTTTCCCTTGACTTTCTGACCCTCTTTCTAAAGCTCATTTAAACTTTCTTACTCCTGGGCCAGTTCCTGCTACTGCTACCCACCATGGACTTCTTGATGAGTGGCCTGGCAGCCTGCGGAGCCTGTTTGTTCACCAATCCCCTGGAGGTGGTGAAGACTAGGATGCAGCTGCAGGGAGAACTGCAGGCCCCTGGCACCTACCAACGGCACTACCGAAACGTCTTCCATGCCTTCATCACCATCGCCAAGGTGGACGGCCTGGCTGCCCTGCAGAAGGGCCTGGCCCCTGCCCTCTTATACCAGTTCCTGATGAACGGCATCCGGCTGGGCACCTACGGGCTGGCTGAAGCTGGGGGCTACCTGCACACGGCTGAAGGCACCCACAGCCCTGCCCGCAGTGCAGCAGCTGGGGCTCTGGCTGGGGTCATGGGAGCCTACTTGGGGAGCCCCATCTACATGGTGAGAAGAAGGGTCTTGCCTGGGGCCTTCAGGGCAGATACTCGGTGTTGGGTGGGTGCCTGAGCCTTCACAATCTAATACTGAGTTGTAAGTGGATTTGTGTAAGGGAAGAAGAATAATTTGAGTAACATACATCAGCGAGTGTAGGGATCAGCGGAAGTCCCGGGCATCACAGAATTACAATCGCACAGTCTGCCCCTTTTAATTATCTGGTATAGGTGAAGGGCCTGAGGCCCAGAGAGGGGAAGTGATCAGCTCAAGATCACACAGCTCTTATTGCTAGGACTAGGCCCTGCTTAGAGCTCCTTCTGGAAAGACACTGGAAGGCAGTGAGTTCTGTAGAAAGAGAGGCAGTCTAGTCTCACTCCTAGGGTATGAGATTCAGGGATAGTGACCTCCCCAAAGTTAGCTGGACATACGCCCCCATAGGGCTTGGGTGCCAGGGAGCAAGTTTTACAGATGATCCCTCACAACCTGCCTCAGAGTCTGATGGGCAGCCTGGTTGTGGTAGTGGCTGGAGATTGTCTGCCAGCCTAGGGATAGGAGCTGGCATAAAAGGCTGGATACCATGTCTTGCCTACCATGAACAGTCTTAGGAAATGTTGCCATTCTCCAACCTCTCCACCCCTCACCCCTACCCCCAGGGAAAGGAGGATGTAGAAGGGGTGGGGTGTCTCTCAGTGCTCAGAGACCCATCCCCCCTCAGGACTGGAGCCAAGGGATGGAGACAAGGGACGGAGCCAAGGGACACAGCCTCATGACCAATTTGTTAAGTGGGAACAACAATAATTATCAGATTAAAAGGATATTCATTTCTGAACACCCTAGAGGAAGTATGAAGGGGTCAGGCATCTGGGTCTCTGAGGTGGGAGGCTGGCCACTGGGCCATAGGCTATAACACTCTTTTGTCCCCAGGTGAAGACACACCTACAGGCACAGGCAGCCTCAGAAATTGCTGTAGGGCACCAGTATAAGCATCAGGTGAGGGTTTTCCAACCCAGCTGGAGTCCCTGCCCATCCTCTCCCATTCCCCCGTCCAGGCTTCTCCCTGCACCCAACAGATCCAACCCTTCCACGGCTCTGCCCAGCCCATCAGTACAGCCCTACTCTGCCCTGGAGTCCACCCACACCCTCTTTCCCCCACGTTCCTCGGTTCCTATAGTCTTCTGCCCTTGTTTCTCCCGACCTGCAAATGTCAGGTCCTCACATCCATACACCCTGCCCTATTCTGCGGTGGCGAGGGAGGGGATGGGGGGTGGTAGACAACTGAGGGGCCACATTCTCACTCTAAGCCCACATGGAACTGGTTGTCTAGAGTCTGGGTGCCTGTTATGGACCCATCCTTGGCATTGTTAGGAGGTGGCAGCCCCTGATGCCTGGGTGACTGAACCCTGCCCCCATGGTCTCCCTCCCCCACAACCAGGGCATGTTTCAGGCGCTAACCAAGATTGGCCAGAAACATGGTCTGCTGGGGTTGTGGCGTGGGGCCCTGGGCGGCCTGCCCCGAGTTATCGTCGGTTCCTCCACCCAGCTGTGCACCTTCTCATCCACCAAGGACCTCATGACCCAGTGGGAGGTACTGCCCGGGGAAGGGATGGGACCACCCTGGGAATGTGGGCAGGGGGAGGGCAAGCTGAAGTGGGCTCTAAAGGGACAGTGCCGACATTCAATATGAGGGAGTGGCACAAGGGCTTGGGGGTCACTGTATCTTTACACCCTTGCCACAGTTCTCTTGCCACTTCCTCCCAGGTATACCTGAGTCATCAGGGCTCCGCAGTGTTATCACTGGTGGAGTGGAAGCTCCCTGAGTTACCAGCTCTCTACTGTATCCCCAGCACAGGGCCTGTCCTTTCCTAGGGGTTGAATGATTGGCTGACTGACAAAGCTCTTTCTCCCTCCCCGCTTTAGATATTTCCTCCCCAGACCTGGAAGGTGGCTCTGGCGGCTGCCATGGTGAGTGGCATTGCGGTGGTCCTGGCCATGACACCCTTTGACGTGGTCAGCACAAGGCTCTACAATCAGCCCACAGATGCTCAGGGCAAGGTAAGGGTGGGTGCGGACAGGCAGGGCAAACCGGGGGATGGGGAAGAGCACATTGTGGCTGCAGATAGGAAGGCCTAAATGCAGCCTGCTGAGGTGAGGCCCCTAGTGGGCTCTGACATACCCCTTCCCTGTATTCTCCCTCCCTCTCCAACCTCTCAGGGCCTCATGTACCGGGGGTTGCTGGACGCTCTGCTGCAGACGGCTCGGACAGAAGGCATTTTTGGCATGTACAAGGGCATAGGTGCCTCCTACTTCCGCCTTGGCCCCCACACCATCCTCTCTCTCTTCTTCTGGGACCAGCTGCGCACGCTCTACTACACTTACACCAAATAACAACAGCCACTCCTCCACACTCCACCAAATCAGCACTCCTTGGACACTCCATTACCACGGTGTGGTGACTTCTGACCAGATGACCTGTCATGGTCCATCTGAGGGGGAACAGCCAACCCTATTCCCCATCTGTTTTCTCAGGGTTGAATCACTACAAGGGATAGTTTCCCTCTGTTCCTTGGGTGTCGCTTTAAACCCTCCCTACCTGTACCCCTGTACATTTCACACCCCTCTCTCAGGGCTGAATCAGTCACTCCAGAGTGTATTTCCTCCCTTTCTCCACTGCCGGCCTCAAGTCCCTTCTGATCCCATGCACAAGTTTAAACTCCACCGTCCAAGACCAAAGGGAATTGTGGGGACCAAGGTGTTCTGTTAGATTCAAAAGCACAGATATTATATTGGATATAAAGCAAGTTTATTTCTGCAGAGAGGAGGTGTCTTATGTTTATGTACTGGGAAGGAATTAGGGGACTATATCCAACCCCTTGCTCCCCTTGCAGAATAGGGGCCCCAGGTCTTCAGCAGCATCATGATCATGCAGCATTTCAGTTTCCTTATTGGGGACTAAAGATGTTGGGATCGTGAAGGGTCAGACTGGTCACCAGCTGTTCAAAGTCACCCAGGCTCCAGGGCAGAAGTGACAAATTTTCAGGGCCAAGAGATGACCTATTCTCAGGGCTTGAAGGTGAGGAACAGACAGAGAGAGAATGTCATCCAAGCCTTGGGTTTGTAAGTTCTCATCTCCTGTTCCCCAGAGGACCTGGATGTCTGTGACCCCAAAGCCCTGGCCTACTCCCACGTCCTTGGAGGACCCACCAACGGATCTCCCTGCTTTGCCCCTCCCAGCCAGTTCTCATGGGGACCCAGTCATGAGCCATGCACCCTTTCTGTGCTTCTTACGGGGGCTGATTGAAGGTGAGCAAGAGGTCAGTCTGGTATTGGGTCAGCCGCAGCAAGGCCTGGTGCAATGTCACATACTTTGCTACCTAAAGGAATCAGAGTCGGGATGCTTACCTGATTCCCCAGGGCCACCCCTTTTCGCCCCTCCAGGACTTCTCAAACTCCCTTGGCCCTCACCTGCTGGTTTTCTTTCGCTACCTGCTGCTTGCCAGAGAGGATCCAGGCTTCTTGACAGCAGCCCCTCAGGGCCAGGTTCTCCAAAGGGAGGGGCTGCACAGCCTCCACTTGTACAGCTCTAGCCTCCTGCACCCCAGCAACATCCTCAAAGTGGTACCTGGAGTGAGGGAAGCAGAGTCATGGAGGGACATCTCTTACCGCCCCCGACAAGCATCTTTTAAGTCCTAAGCTTCGCTCACTTATGGTGATAGGTGTTGCCCTTGGAGTTTTCATTGCCCTGGTTAACCGTCCAGCCACCGGCCCCGCCCACTTCTTCGGCTCTGGCTCTCCCATTGGCCAGCCGCCGTCTGGACGTCCTCACCGAGCAGCCTCTTCTCCCTGCACGTGGGCTTGCAGCTCCAGAAGTTCCACGATCAGGCTCTGGTCTGTCACGCGATGGCAGAAAACTTCTTGATTGTCCGGGACTGGTCGAAGGTCGCTGGAGAGAGGCGAGGTAGACCCTGCTTGACTCCACTTCTTGCCCGCAACCCACCACGTCAGCCTCCTTTGGCGCCCGGGCCGTCTCACCTTACGTCAATGGCCCCGGGAGGGAGAGTGGCAGAGAAGGCGCCCCCAAACAGTGGGTAGTCCTGCGTGGGCTCCATGGGCCTGAGACTAGGGTCTGGGCACTAGAGACTTAAAAGAAACCCACATGGGCCCACGTGGCATCCCCTCCCTGCGTTTCGCAGCAGCCACCGCCAGTCTTCCCTGGCCCTCGACCCTTTAAGGCCTGGCCCCGCCCCGCGATCGCGCTGGCCAATCGACGCCCTCGTCTTGGGGGGCGGTGCCCCAGTGGGGCTGCTCCCGGAAGCCAATCTGTTAGAAGGGCGCGGGGCGGGATCGCGGGGGTCAGCTAGGAGCTAAGACCTCGGTTTAGTATTTGTGACGTCCTTGTGGTCACTAGCTCGCACCCGTCTGTCTCCTCCTTTTAAAGGGATAGAACTTTCTAAGACTGTCGCCTGAGACCCTCCTTAGGGGCAGTTGATCATCCAAGGGTCTGACGTACAAGTGGGATCTCCTGAGGGGAGGGGAGTGGATAGTTTTAGAGTCTCCCAAATCACTCTCCAGGGCCTCTTGACCGGGAATAAGCTGCCAACCAGACCACTAATTCCTGGATGCGGAGAATTAGGGGAACAATGGGGCCAGGTGTGTGGCCGGGTTAGGATTTAGGACTCCCGCCTTCCTGAAAGCAAAACCCAACCCAGGGATTATGTATTTAATCCCCCTCAAATCTTCACCTTGGGAACCATGCAAGGGGATGGAGGGGGCGGGGAAGAGGGTGTTCTCCCCCGTCACACACACACACACCTGGAAGAAAGCAGGGAATTAACTCTGTTGTTTTATAGATTTTTAGAGTGTTCTTGAAGCTTCGGCTCAAGTGTATCCTCCCAGCTAATTTCTCCTTTCATCTTTGATCCCCAGCACCTGGCAGAGTGTTTAGAGCATAATAGACCCATTATGTATAGTTGAGTGATTGAATAAACCCAACAGGATGAATTTTGGAACCCAGGCCATGCATACCTTCAGGGGTTCTAGATGTCATCTACTTCCCAGCCAAAAACTGCAAGAGGATTCTCATCTTGAGGCCGTCCCACCCTTGGGGCTGCAAGTGCCGGCCACACCTCTGGATCCTAATGATTTTGTGACACTGTGGCCAAGGGATGCATATTCTTTGGTCCTTTACCTTACCAGGCCTTAAGTGAAGGGCTGGAGCTACAAAGGCTATTAGGACACAGGCTCTGCCTCACCAGGAGTTTACAAAGAACAGTGGATGATCCTTTGAGTCTTAAAGGATGACTCAGAATTCACCAGGGCATCCTAGGGGTATTCTAGCCAGGGGAACACTGGGAGCAAAGACTTGGAAATGAGAGGACATGTTTTGGGGAATGCAAGTATATCAGTTTGGCAAGGGTGCCATGGGAATGAATGGCAGGGATCTGTGAAGGAGGAGGGGTTGGCCATATGCAGGGTTTTTATAGAGCATACTAAAGAGCCTGGACTCCTCACTTCTGATGGCCAGTATCAGATTTCTCTCTGAGACTCATTTCCTCCTCTCTAAAAGATTGTTAGGATTAAAGGAAGTAAGGATGTAGTTGAACCTGAATTTGTTTCTGGGCAAAGAGAGTGGACTAAGTTTGATCCATGAGGAATTAGAAAGGAGGGGTGTGTCACAGACCCCAGAGGGAAAGGAGGAATCTGGACTTAGGGAATGTAGGGAGCCAGCTTGCAAGGGTCAACCCCATGCTGCCTCCCCTCCCTCCCCATTTCTGCTGGTTTACCATCTGCCCCCTCCTCCCTGCCAGGGGCAGTACTGGCTCTGACTACTTTGTGAGCAGTCAAGCAGAGAGGGAACCTTTGGAAAGGAACCTTCAAGGACTTAGAAGTTAACAGGGCGCTGGCTCCAGGCACAAGGGATAGGGGCCTATTTATGGGCCAGGAGGTCGGACTAGATTAGGGAGACTGAGGAGAATCCCCTCAACTTCCTCATTTTGGGTCTTTGTCATGCCAGGAGTCATGCTCTGCTATGAGCCTTGTGCAGCAGGGGACGCCTGGCCCTCCAGCTTTGGAGTTCTTGGGGCATGAGTTAGGTGGGCTCTTCCAGGTGGTAGGCAGCAGACCTCCATGCATGGAGGTGCAAGGCCAGACCTCCTCAGGGAGATCAGGGTGGAAGGAATCCCTAACTTGGCAAGTTCCTCTTCTTGACTCCACTTTCTCTGTCTCACCCTTCACCTCTTTCCCTGTGTCTTGTCACTTCTTCCGGCCTTCCCAGCAGCTGGCTCCCACTGTGTGTTCAAATTCAAACTCCCCAAGGGGCAGATTCTAATTGGGTCCATTAGCTGCCAACCTACCCGAAAGTACCTATTTGGCCAGCTCTCCTGCCTGGCCACTTTCCAGGCCACTAGCCAAACACAGGTGAGATCCTTGGCCAGCTAGCTGTGAATAGAATTATGCATATCATGGGACAGATCT